GTAATATATAGGTTACAGCAGAATATTTTTATGTAAATAACATGGCTAAAGTAGGTTATATGGCTGTGTTGTAAAATCCAAATGAAAATGCCGTTATGCTGGCTCAGCATTCATCAGCATTGACAGTGAACTATTCCGTTCAGGGAATGGAGGATGCTTGGAGAAAAATGGATTAAGAGATTTTTCAAGCCTTGGCCAATTAAGCAGTTCTCATTTTCTTAAAAATGAAATTAAAATATTTTTCTGTGCCTTTTCCTCTCCTTTCCTCCTTCTTTCCCAGGAGATGAATTCTAGTGGCAGTGCTGAGGACTGCTTAGAAAGGTCTCTATAAACATCTGAAATGTGGGGGCCAAATGGATGGGGCCAGGCTCTTTTCAGTGGTGCCCAGTGACAGGACAAGGGGCAATGGGCAAAAACTGGAACACCAGAAGTTCCAGACAAACTTAAGGAAAAACTTTTTTTACTGTGAAGGTGTCAGAGCACTGGAATGGGCTGCCCAGAGAGGTTGTGGAGTCTCCTTCTCTGGAGATGTTCAAAACCCACCTGGATGCTTTCCCTGTGTAACCTGTTTAATCTGCTTTGGCAGGGGGGTTGTAATAGATGATCTCCTGAGGTCCCTTCCAACCCCTACCATTCTGTGATTCTGTGAAAGATGGTATACTAGAGATGGGACAAATTGTGTCTAGTCCCAGAATGTACCATTAAAGATTAAAGGAAACTCCAAACAAATTATATAAACAGCTCTGAGCTCCTTGCAGAGACTGTTACTAATTAGAGCATCAAGTTGTATGGCAGTTATTGTAAGGTAATGACTGCCAACAAAGAACTGCATTAATAGTAATCTTTTATTTTGTGTATAGGCTAATGAGATGTAATGTCTTTCTGTGATGATTTTAGCTTACTTTGGACTGTTAAACTAGGGGTAACTAAGACAGAAGAACAATGGAGAAGTCATTGCCCTTCTAAACTATTCAAAATAATTCCCAGAAAGGCTGGGAAGATGACAAAGAGCCACAATCAGGAAGCAGGCACACTTCAAATTTCCTTGCTCTTCTGAATCATTAATTCTTCCATAGCTTCATCAGGTCTGGAAAAGGAAAGGAAGAGAGAAAATTTTGATTTTGCAATAGAAAATTTTATTTTGTGTTTTCTCTGAGCTACCTCCTGTTCTTCACCTTTCTGACTCTGGGTTGACTGGAACTGCGAAGCTCATCCATTACAAAATACAAGCTAATCCTAGAGGTAACAAGAATTTTCAAAGTAGGTTTCTTTCTTCGAGGTTGCCTTTTGAGTTTTGAACCTCATAGATTTTCAAAATTTTCTGAGAAATCAGAAGAGTTCATGCTAATTTCTTTGTGATAATTCAGGCTATTCATTTGGAATATTTAGGAAAGGTGAACTATAATGAGAATCAGTGTCTCCCAGCTTAAAAATCCAGTCTTGGATTTGCATAGCATACTTCTTCTGTGATGAAGAAGAATATTTTGCATAGGAAACTTCTGTGATGAAGAAGCTTCATCACAGTGAGCAGGAAAGCAAGTAGAGAGGCTTGGAAATAAACTGTGCTGCAAAAAGAATGAGGGGGAGAATTTTCCTGCAGTCCATCTTCCCCATGATGGTTATTCAAAGGGGGAAGATGACTACTTTTTGTGTAGTCAGGATTTTTTATTCCTTGCAATGCATGTTTGGAGTAATTCTGCATGTATCAGAGAGGTCATTTAATTGTTTTCTAATAGATCTTCAGGAGTATTTCTTCAGCGAGGAGAAATATTATTCTGAAGGGATTTGTGTCAGATGCAGAAGAGATTTGAGGTACTGGAATGGAGGTTAGTGACTACATTTCATTGTCTGAATTATTTATTGCTCCTTAGCACTTCTAGTCTGATGAAGAAATATGGAAAGTGGACCTGCTGTCAGATTCTTTCACATCCTGCAAGATGCTCAGCATAGATGGGTTGGGTGTTGTCAGCTCCTGATGAAGGAGCTATAGCCAACAGGCTAAGCCTAGTTTGGGCCAAAAACCTCATTGGCCCAAAATATTCAATGCTTCTATTTCTGGGAATACCATCTACCATTAGTCTTTTCTGGTAAGTGGAGCATTGGATGGTTTCTCAAGCATACCTAGTATTTACTTACAGAACTGAAGTTCTTTGTACCTTTGGGATCTGCAGCTCGGTAACCATCTCTCTCCTTCCATTACTTCATTCCCAAATTGTTATCAAATCAAGCATTAATTAGTAAGGGAAAGGAAGGGACTGGTGAAAACACTTGATTCTTCCCATTGGTCCTCTTGGATTTTCCACCCCATAAAGAAACAAGTCTTAAAACAAAGGTAGCTACCAGTGAAAACAAAGAGAAAGAGTTGATGAAAGACTGCCACACGTGAGAGGTCAAAGAGTAAATGTTCTGAGATGGAGTATTTTTATCTTGGATAAGAAACTAATGGCAGAATTTATGATGTATCTTTCTACTTCTGTTGGATGTTGGCTTATGTCAGATAGAGTATTTCTTTATCTTCCTTATTTCCCCTTTACATTTCTGCAATTTTTATTTTGGGGTTGCTATAATCCAAAGAAGAAAACTATGACAGGGGAAGTTGATCAGATTCATTGCTGTGATTAGATGATAACACTTCCACATGTTATCATTATTATTATTTTTTTAATTCCCACACAGTTTAGTTCCACTTGATTGTTTGGTTACTATTCTCAAATACTTTGGGTGAACAATCTTCAGGCAATGGGTTGTTCATGAAGCATTCATTTCATCTCCTTGTTCTTGATATTTTTATTGTGTGATTGCTTGTTGAACATTACCAGTAGTTGCTCAAAAATTTGTTTGTATACTTTCCTGTATCTCATATCTTCATCTCGAGCTATTTCTGCAGCTAAATGCAGTTCAGAAATGGTGGTTCTGATCATGCTTAAATGCATATAATCCTTGATGAAGAGTTTGTTCTTTGCACTGTGATAGCTTCTGATGAGGATTTGATTTCTGTTCTGTGAAGTCAAGTAAAATAAAATAAGAAAGATGACAAATGAGTAGAACAACAAAACTGCTTGCCCTGAAGCCTTTGTAAAGGCGAGTCTTTTTCAATTAGTGCCAAAATGTGGAGTCACAGCTCTAATATAACTGAATAAAAGCAGAGGAACAAAGGCCAAACCCCCCAGGCTCTCCCTCTTCTGTACCTGAGTAAAATAGAAGCCAGAAGCAGTAACAAAAGTCTGTCTTCTTCTAGGTTTTTCCTTGCCAAACTGCATTTCTTAAAAAAAATAACATTTAAACATTTTGGTTTAGGAGAAAAAAATCTGTACATAAAAGAGTTCCTGAATTGCAGAGTAGTGTGCATGAGAACCGAATTCTGTAAAGCCCAAACATGACAGGTTCTGAAATTGTTTCAGCTGAAGGTATCCTTCAAGTATAATCTCCAGATTCATGCTTCTAGGTGATGCAGTGTCTTGTCTTGATTTTTAGTTTAGATCAGATATATTTTATACCTAAATTAAGATGATAGTATTTTGCTTACCTCAAAATAATGTTACATGAATAGATGCATTAACAGTATTTTTTTGAATATGAGGATCATGGAAGTAATATGAGAGTTTGGCAGATACCTATCCATAAAGCAGATTTATTGTGAGGAAAAACAGATCTGCTTTTGCTCTTCATTCTTGTGTAAACATCATGCCTGCAAATGTGATTTGTGTTTTGTTATGGCTGCAAGTGGCCACATCCTGGTTCTCCTCAGATGTCCCCTCCCCACAAAATGCCACCACCCCCCAGAGGAGCTGCCACCCTGCCGAGTGAAAGCTGGCTCTGGCATCCAGAAGATTGGGGTTTTGTTTCCTGGTGTGCTGTGGGGTTTTTTGCATAATTAAGTGGCTCTTGGCTCTGGTGCTGAAATAATATTATTTTACTGATTTTGGTAAAACTTTGTTAAGTAGTGAAAAGCCACAGTTTACTTGAAGAGCAACATTGCAACTTTCTTCAACCACAAGATGGAAAATGAATCAACAGCAGAACTTGCATAGTCCACATGAACTGCTGAGAACTTACTCTTGTTTAATTAATATTAATTTACTATTTATAGAGTGATAACAAGATTCTTGTGGCTTTTGTTACATCTGCTTTTAATTTTAAAGGCATTTTAATCAGTTTACTGCATGACAATATTTGTCAACACCAGGTAAATAAGACCTCTTATATGACCTATCCAGTTGAGACTAGTTAACAGGCTAGACTGGGAAATAGTATGCAAACTCATTTCTCCTCTTTTATCAGAAGGGATCAGTTCCCAAAGTGACATAGATATTGTCGGTGTAGGTGATACCTTTAACCATGACATCACTTTAAGCCCCTGGGCAACACTTACACCCTTGGGAGTGTATTGCTGCTGAAGGGAACTGCTTGAGCTGAATACCTGAGACTTTCTCTACATTGAATTTCCTTCTGCTCAAGTGAGAAAAACTGATGGGTTCAATCAAGAATCCCTTATTTTTACTGACTTGCAGTCAGGAGCACTGAAGTGACTTTTTTTTTTTTCTTCTGGCCTTTTCATTTTTTTTTTCTTTATCCTTGTCTGTTCCTCTTCATTCCTTTCACTTGACACCTGTTCCTACCTTTGGAGGATGAGATAAGCAGAGAACTCTGTCCCTGTAAGAGACAAGGAACAGAATATGCCTGCACGAAGAGAGCCAGAGCAAGAATCAAACCTCTCCTGGGCAGGTGGGCGTAGGAGAGCTCCTTTGCTGCAGGTTGCTTTCTGGAGTGCCATCAGTGGGGTTTTCTCACTGTAGCAAGTATACTTGGTTTTTGGTTTGGGCTTTGTTTCTTTGTTTTGGGTTTTTTTGAGTCATCATGCTGCAGCAAATTTTGCGTGATATGTATATTGACCCTGAGCTCCTGGCAGAGCTGAATGAAGAGCAAAAGCAGATCTTGTTCTACAAAATGAGAGAAGAGCAGCTGAGGCGCTGGAAGGAGAGAGAAGAAAAAGCACGAATGGAGGAGGCCATGCTGAGAAAGACAGCAAGGCGCAAACAGAGTAAGATTTGTGACCTTCTTCTATACTTCAGCACTGGGGATGGTGGGCATGCAACTGGCTATGGTGCAGCACGCACATGCATCTGGAAGAGATTACAAGGAAGGGCACCAGCTATCCCCATAGGCAAAAAAACAGTGAAAGCACTGTGTTCCTGCTCCTTGTCTCTCAAGGCTAGTTCTTTCTCCAGGGAAATAACTTAGTGTGGGTATAAGGTGAGTTGTTTTGAAACGCCTCTTTCAGTCAGGAGTCACTGCTCCCATTCTCTCAGTGATACCAGATGTACCATGACCAAGTTTCCCTTCCACTCCTAAGGCTTTTTTCTTCACCTATCATCCCCATCCCTGTGCCTCAGGTAAAAGGCAATCTTGCCTGGGCTGCTGAGGTTTTTTGTCTTGACATTAAATGTTTCTATGTAGCTGAAGTAGGAGATAAATTCTTGAATTTGTGCTTGTTATGAAGGGTTGTTTGTGAATAAGTGTGGCATTAGAACAACCATACCATATAAGACTAAATTTCCAACTGTACTAATAAACACTCTCCAAAAGATCACCTCTAGAGAATAGGACAGTAGTGGGGTGAGCATGTGAAAAAAAAAAAAACAAAACCAAACCCAAACAGGCCATACCATAAAGGAAAAAAACAGAAATGTGTTTTCGTGCAATATATATTTAAACTATGGAGCTCCTTTCACAGGCTATTATGGATGCTAAATGTGTGTGTTGACTTGAAAAGCAAATAAGCAAAATCATAGAAGAAAACATCAAAATAACTTCTCGAAATGTCATTTCCAAGTGTCTGGTCTTGGGTCCAGGTGGTTTGGAATAAACAGAAATACTTATTTCCTTTCTCTCTTATCTGAACAAGTAGTTTCCAACTCTTTTTCCATTCACAGGATGAAGTTGTTAGGCTGATGTTGGAAATATATTTGCAGTTATTCCTCACTCAACAAGAAAATGTCACAGAGATAGGTCAAACACTCCTTACCCCGTGAAATGCCAAAGATCTTATCCTATCTTCAAATCTGTTAAAACTTGAATATTAAAAATTTCTAATAATTTTGAGTAGCTGGTTTTGAGAAAGTGCTGTAATAACTGTGACTCTCCAGTCAGTGTTTAAAGTGTTGCTCATCTTAACACACCCATGGTAGAAAGCTTTACTTGCAACACCTCATCACAGATAAGATTATTGGATAAAACTGTGAGACTTCTTAAAATGTTTAGAGACTCTGAACACTACAAAGTCCCAGTAGATGGTTAACAATTCAAAGTCTATTATTAAAGAAACATGTTTCAAAGCAAAACTAATATCCAAGTCTCAGCTGAAGCAAAGGCTTTTATGAAATTACTCTGGGGTAAGTTACAATTGTAACCTTAAAATAAAGGCGGAACATTCAGAACACCCTAATCAGCTGTAATAGCAGTTTAAAATGTCCCCTCGCAGATGGCAAGGTGGACGCTAGAAAACCTCATTCTGTTCAGTTTCTGTTTTCTTCATGTTAGCGTTCTTTGTGTGAATGATACTCTCCTAAGAGGGATGGTGTCAAAATAGCTTCTCTCATACAGCACAAAAACCTTGTTCATTTTGATTGATTTGTAGCCGAGGAAAAAAATTAAAAATGCAGTTCAGTTCTGCATTCTGCATACTGAAACAACATTATATCATTGAGATAATCTGTATTATGCTCATTCTTTGAGGAAGACAGATGCAGAAAAATCTAACTGTAAAAATATTTATGTGATGATTTGTCACAGTGTTGAGACCTAAATTTACATACATAAATTATACATTAAACCTGTTCAGATTCCTTCTACAGGAGACCATTTTCTGGGTAATTAATTTTCTGATTTATAAAGAATAAGAGAAAGAGCAGTAGAGTAACCCATAATTATATTTGCTCTGACAAAAACATTCACAAATACACATGGAGTTAAATTTCACAATAGCACATTTCCTTTTTACCTTAAACTGACAATTTAAGATATTGCTTAGGTTTGACTTTTGCCCACTGTTAGAAACTTTCTGTTTCCTCAGAACTGTACTAAAGAACTGATCTTACGGACTTATTTATTTGGTTATTTTTACAGAGAACTATTTGAATTAGAATTGCAAGTAGGGCATTTGGTTCTGCTGAAAAGATATTTTGACTTCCATGAACTGATGTGGGCCAGAGTTACAAAAGATGACTTCCATCTTTCTGGCATGCTGGTCATTAACTGTACAAATACTTGTAGCTGATTTCTACTGTATGTTTCCATAATATGATGGTAAATGGTCTCTTAGTGGAGCTAGTTTCTTCTAGTTTATTGTTGTTTTTTGGGTTTTTTTAAAGAAAAAAGTTTAAAAGGTCAACCAGAAATTATGAGTGTAAAATAGGAATTATTGTGCAATGTTTTTGCCTATATGACTCAAAGGCTAATAATCCTTTCTTATCTTAAAATATGTGATATTCACTCCCCCCATTTGGCATTAACATTTTTTGGACTTTGAAGCTTCTTACTTTTCAGTTTCCATTTATGTGTATGTGAATTTTGAAACATTCTTCCCCTGCCACATGTACACAGTATAATATATGGAGTATTTTTATTCTTGTTTAAAATTAGTGGCTACCAGGAAGTTTAGAGCTACCACAATTACATGTTATTTACTACTTTGAAACTGGGCAGTTTCACCTGCAAGGTTTAGTTTTTGACTCTCTACTGCCTGACACAGGTTTTATGTCCATGCCAAGAGTTACTGTGGTTTTATAGAGATCTTTGTAGCCTGATACATAGTAGAAAACAGAGGTGAGACTTTAATATCTCTGATGTTGTGCTAAGTTTCTGAAATTTTCTAGCTGATGTAAAAAAGTGTATGTTGTGAATATGATGTAATGTTTGTATAAAAAATTTTTTACTAATTTAATTGGAATTATATTTATAGGACTACCTCTCAAATCCTGCTGTTTTCATCATAGTTTGAATATATACATATGAGAACTTTGCCCCACCTCTTTGGGATGGGATAGGGTGAGACAGAACAAAATGATTAATGAAAATGAGCATTTCTAATTAAAAGTGCTCCAAAAAAGTGCTTAGGCTTGATCTGGAGTTCTATACCCCAATTGGTACAATTCTCTGTCAGTTCAAGAGCTTACGTGCAATGGTACATGTGAGCTCAGCAGCATAGTGGAAGTGGTGGATTTTTTTGCAACAGAGCAGTGATTGTGTATGCAACTTTGATTTTCTGCAATGACATGAGGATGAAGGGTTCTCGGTCAAGGTTTAGGTGTGTTGTCTTACAGAAACCAGAAGTGCAGAGTTGGGGAGGAAAAAAGTGGCATATGCAGGTCAGATTGGCCTTGTGCTAGAGGTAAAATCATCAGCAGTTTTAGGGAGTGCTTGTCAATGTGATCATTTTTTAATTGTTTGGACACTAGCTAGCAAAGGCCCAAAATATATAGTGGTTTTTATAGAAGGCCCACTGAATGCAGGTTGCCCATAAATGTTCTATTCAGTGCTATGAAATTTGCTTCTTAGAAAACAAAGACAAGTCTAAACCGTGAAATAAGATGTAAGTTGTTGAGAGAGTTTAGCAAGCCAAATTTCGTCACAGTCTATATGTAATTGGTCTTATTCTTCATTTCTAAAGAAAATAATATTATTCACCTTCAGCAAATACTTGATGAAAGGTTAAAATTGAAGTTTGTATCAGAATGAGTCAGTGTTAAAGAAATTATTTCACCCTGGGGCTGGGGGGGAATGAAATTTTTTCATTATTCAACAGTTTTAATTTCCTTCAATTTTTAAAAAGATTTCCTTTAGAAGATATTGAATAAACTGTTCCCATGTTTTTGCTGTTTGTACCTAGCCTACATTTGTATCGTGCCTAAAAATATTAGTAGCATTTGAGCATCATTTGGGTCCTCCTAAAACTGCATCATTTAGTGAGCTTATGCAAGGTGAGAAAAGTATTTCATAGCTTTAATTAAATAATGACTGCTAGCTTGTACTGAAATAGCTTTACCAGTGAATTGAATTCTTGGAGGTCCATATCCAGTTCATTTACAAATTACTCCTGGGCAGATCTTTCAGGGACATATTGTCATTGTAATAAAACAGGTTGCCTTTTCTTATTGTGCTAAAATCACTAAAGGAAGTCTCAAAATTTCAAGATCCCTTTGGGATTTGCTGAGAGTTGACTGATAGGCAGCTTTTCAATTTGCAAAAAAATGTATTTATTTGATTAGGCAGGAGCCCTTTAACCAGTATAGCTGAGTTGCAAGTAAGTGAAGGACCCTGCCAATTTGGATTTTGAATCTTATGCAATATCCAGAGCTGACAGCACACACAAAATGAGATCTCAAAAACTAATGAGCATTAGGTAGCTGAAGGACAGCCATGTGGGAAGGAAGACAATGCTGGTCTGGTGCTGCTTGTTCTGACATTTATTCATTGTGAACTGCAGCTCATGATGTTCAGACAGGAGCTATTTGTAAACACTCTTATTTACTTGTCCTTAACAAGAGTATCTGTAAGAAAATTAGGTAGGCTTATCACAGCATGGCTAGAGAATAATTTCTTTATCTAAATGATATTTGTGTTAGAAAATCATTAGGGAATAGATGAATCTATTTGGAAGCAAGTATTTCTAATATCACAAGTGGATGGTTGGAAGATACATCAGTGTCACATGTGAAGGCCAGTGGGTGAGTGTGTGTTTCAATGTGCGTATGAATGGTGAGTGGGTGTACGTGCAGTGACATTTTTTTCTATGTTTTTGAACTCAGAACTGTATTTCTCATTTATACTAAGGCCTCTACACACCCGGGTAATGCTTAGCTAAGATTTTATCTCCTAGAGAGACCTGCTTCTGCCAGTGTTCATTGTCTCTTTCTCTGCATCATCGGATATGTGTCTAACCAGAGACATCAGACTTGAGTATTTCTGAAATTTCTGTCTGTGCATGGTGGTGAATTCTGTAGAGCCCTGTCTTTCTTTCCAATTCAGATAAAATTCAAAAAG